GTGACAAGGGCCGCGAGAGTGTACAGACACGGGGGTGACAAGGGCCCCGAGTGTGTACAGACACGGGGGTGACAAGGGCCCCGAGTGTGTACAGACACGGGGGTGACAAGGGCCCGGGAGTGTGTACAGACACGGGGGTGACAAGGGCCTCGAGAGTGTACAGACACGGGGTGACAAGGGCCCCGAGTGTGTACAGACACGGGGGTGACAAGGGCCCCGAGTGTGTACAGACACGGGGGTGACAAGGGCCCCGAGTGTGTACAGACACGGGGGTGACAAGGGCCCCGAGTGTGTACAGACACGGGGGTGACAAGGGCCCCGAGTGTGTACAGACACGGGGGTGACAAGGGCCCGGGAGAGTGTACAGACACGGGGGTGACAAGGGCCCCGAGAGTGTACAGACACGGGGGTGACAAGGACCCGTGAGTGTGTACAGACACGGGGGTGACAAGGGCCCCGAGTGTGTACAGACACGGGGGTGACAAGGGCCCCGAGAGTGTACAGACACGGGGGTGACAAGGACCCGTGAGTGTGTACAGACACGGGGGTGACAAGGGCCCCGAGTGCGTACAGACACAGAGGGGTGACAAGGCCCCCGAGTGTGTACAGACACTAGGGTGACAAGGGCCCCGAGTGTGTACAGACACGGGGGGCTGACAAGGGCCTCGAGTGTGTACAGACACGGGGGGGTGACAAGGGCCCCGAGTGTGTACAGACACGGGGCGGGGGTGACAAGGGCCCCGAGTGTGTACAGACACGGGGGGGGGGTGACAAGGGCCCCGAGTGTGTACAGTCACGGGGGGGTGACAAGGGCTCGCGAGAGTGTACAGACACGGGGGTGACAAGGGCCCCGAGAGTGTACAGACACGGGGGTGACAAGGGCCCCGAGAGTGTATAGACACGGGGGTGACAAGTGCCTGGGAGAGTGTACAGACACTTGGGTGACAAGGACCCGTGAGTGTGTACAGACACGGGGGTGACAAGGACCCTGACAGTGTACAGACACGGGGGGTGACAAGGGCCCCGAGAGTGTACAGACGTGGGGGGTGACAAGGGCCCCGAGAGTGTACAGACACGGGGGGTGACAAGGGCCCCGAGAGTGTACAGACACGGGGGGTGACAAGGGCCCCGAGAGTGTGTACAGACGTGGGGGGTGACAAGGGCCCCGAGAGTGTACAGACACGGGGGGTGACAAGGGCCCCGAGAGTGTACAGACACGGGGGGTGACAAGGGCCCCGAGAGTGTACAGACACGGGGGGTGACAAGGGCCCCGAGAGTGTACAGACACGGGGGTTACAAGGGCCCCGAGAGTGAGTACAGACACGGGGGGTGACAAGGGCCCCGAGAGTGTACAGACACGGGGGGTGACAAGGGCCCCGAGAGTGTACAGACACGGGGGTGACAAGGGCCCGCGAGTGTGTACAGACACGGGGGTGACAAGGGCCCGCGAGTGTGTACAGACACGGGGGGTGACAAGGGCCCCGAGAGTGTACAGACACGGGGGGTGACAAGGGCCCCGAGAGTGTACAGACACGGGGGTGACAAGGGCCCGCGAGTGTGTACAGACACGGGGGTGACAAGGGCCCGCGAGTGTGTACAGACACGGGGGTGACAAAGCACAAAAGATCACAACTAACGATGCATGACAATCGCTAGTAGCTTGGTTATAGTACTGTGTTGCCATGGCTATGGTGCTCCTACCGTCCAGGTTCGAATCCTGGAGGGCTTACTTAGTTTTTCCTTATCCCTTGAAAAAAATCTTCATCAAAAATAAGTTCTCTCAGGGCATAAAAATAAGTTCTCTCAGGGCATAAAAATAAGTTCTCTCAGGGCATAAAAATAAGTTCTCTCAGGGCATAAAAATAAGTTCTCTCAGGGCATAAAAATAAGTTCTCTCAGGGCATAAAAATAAGTTCTCTCAGGGCATAAAAATAAGTTCTCTCAGGGCATAAAAATAAGTTCTCTCAGGGCATAAAAATAAGTTCTCTCAGGGCATAAAAATAAGTTCTCTCAGGGCATAAAAATAAGTTCTCTCAGGGCATAAAAATAAGTTCTCTCAGGGCATAAAAATAAGTTCTCTCAGGGCATAAAAATAAGTTCTCTCAGGGCATAAAAAAATAAGTTCTCTCAATACGTTTACAAAATAATTGATCACACGAGGAAATGCATCAATAAGAGAGAACAAAAGCAGCTTCCTTGTGCAAGACAGATTCAATCAAACTTCAAGTCAAGATAAAGTGTTGTGAACGACCAGCCACGAGAACACTTTAATACATGCGACTCACCGGCCCTCGACCAGTCACTTATAAAAGTGCCGAGCGGGGCAATAAACTCCCGGTTGCAACACCCAATAAAAAAAAAGGGATTTGCTTCAGTTGACACCAAAAACACGGTCTAGGTGAACCTGTATTGTTCATTGTTTTACAGCTTCGGAGTTTTTCGTAAAGCCTCTGACGGAGCCTTGAGGAGCTCGGGGCTCCGCTCTCAGATCTTGCGGGATTCTGAGCCTCGCTGAGACCTATTTTACGGTAGTCAAACATTCACTCGTAAAAATTTTAACTTTTGTTCATAATTTTACTCTAGAGGTGCATTGTATGACAGTGAAAGCTTCACTCCGAAATGACTCTTGTGGTGTCAATTCGGAGTGCACAGTACAATGCAAGCTGTGAAGCTAGGGCACCACACCACGTGGCTACTGTGAAGCTAGGGCACCACACCACGTGGCTACTGTGAAGCTAGGGCACCACACCACGTGGCTACTGTGAAGCTAGGGCACCACACCACGTGGCTACTGTGAAGCTAGGGCACCACACCACGTGGCTACTGTGAAGCTAGGGCACCACACCACGTGGCTACTGTGAAGCTAGGGCACCACACCACGTGGCTACTGTGAAGCTAGGGCACCACACCACGTGGCTACTGTGAAGCTAGGGCACCACACCACGTGGCTACTGTGAAGCTAGGGCACCACACCACGTGGCTACTGTGAAGCTAGGGCACCACACCACGTGGCTACTGTGAAGCTAGGGCACCACACCACGTGGCTACTGTGAAGCTAGGGCACCACACCACGTGGCTACTGTGAAGCTAGGGCACCACACCACGTGGCTACTGTGAAGCTAGGGCACCACACCACGTGGCTACTGTGAAGCTAGGGCACCACACCACGTGGCTACTGTGAAGCTAGGGCACCACACCACGTGGCTACTGTGAAGCTAGGGCACCACACCACGTGGCTACTGTGAAGCTAGGGCACCACACCACGTGGCTACTGTGAAGCTAGGGCACCACACCACGTGGCTACTGTGAAGCTAGGGCACCACACCACGTGGCTACTGTGAAGCTAGGGCACCACACCACGTGGCTACTGTGAAGCTAGGGCACCACACCACGTGGCTACTGTGAAGCTAGGGCACCACACCACGTGGCTACTGTGAAGCTAGGGCACCACACCACGTGGCTACTGTGAAGCTAGGGCACCACACCACGTGGCTACTGTGAAGCTAGGGCACCACACCACGTGGCTACTGTGAAGCTAGGGCACCACACCACGTGGCTACTGTGAAGCTAGGGCACCACACCACGTGGCTACTGTGAAGCTAGGGCACCACACTACGTGGCTACTGTGAAGCTAGGGCACCACACCACGTGGCTACTGTGAAGCTAGGGCACCACACCACGTGGCTACTGTGAAGCTAGGGCACCACACCACGTGGCTACTGTGAAGCTAGGGCACCACACCACGTGGCTACTGTGAAGCTAGGGCACCACACCACGTGGCTACTGTGAAGCTAGGGCACCACACCACGTGGCTACTGTGAAGCTAGGGCACCACACCACGTGGCTACTGTGAAGCTAGAGCACCACACCACGTCAGCGACGTGGTGTGGTGCCCTTCGTGGTGCTCGAAGCTTCATTACAAAGACTTCTAGTGAAGCTGGATTCGACGCCATGGACACAGACATCTTGTGACGTTGTCTGTGAGACACGTGGTGGCACAGTGCCTCATATCTGTGAGACACGTGGTGGCACAGTGCCTCATATCTGTGAGACACGTGGTGGCACAGTGCCTCATATCTGTGAGACACGTGGTGGCACAGTGCCTCATATCTGTGAGACACGTGGTGGCACAGTGCCTCATATCTGTGAGATATTTTGTTCATGCAGCGTTCATTGTTTCTTACGACACCGAAGAGAGGCGGGAGCGGCCCGTGACCAGGGCCTCATGCTCACGTCACGCTCATGTTCACGTCACGCTCATGCTCACGTCACTCTCATGCTCACGTCACGCTCATGCTCACGCCCCTGCTCATGCTCACGTCACGCTCATGCTTACGTCAAGCTCATGCTCACGTCACGCTCATGCCCATGCTCACGTCACGCTCACGTCACGCCAAGATGAATGTCTTAAAAATAAATGAACCTGGAAGGTTTTCGAGGTGAGGATTAGAGAGACAAAAATAATGAGGGACAAAGAGGAGGTAAAGAAATGATATGGATGAGGAAAATACGTAAAGGAAAGAAAGAGGGAAAAAGAGGTAAAAGTTCTTTAAAGAGATAAACTGCTCCGACAACGGAGAAGTTACGGGTGGTGGTGCGAAAACGAGGCTACCTGGATTGTACCTGGATGGTGTTCCGAGAGTTGTTCTACTGTCAAGCCCGGCCTCGAGGCCAGGCTGGACTTGAGAGCCAGGAGGCGTCCAGGGCGACCACTGTGAGGGGGGCGTCCAGGGCGACCACTGTGAGGGGGGCGTCCAGGGCGACCACTGTGAGGGAGGCGTCCAGGGCGACCACTGTGAGGGGGGCGTCCAGGGCGACCACTGTGAGGGGGGCGTCCAGGGCGACCACTGTGAAGGGGGCGTCCAGGGCGACCACTGTGAGGGAGGCGTCCAGGGCGACCACTGTGAGGGAGGCGTCCAGGGCGACCACTGTGAGGGTGGCGTCCAGGGCGACCACTGTGAGGGGGGCGTCCAGGGCGACCACTGTGAGGGGGCGTCCAGGGCGACCACTGTGAGGGGGGCGTCCAGGGCGACCACTGTGAGGGGGGCGTCCAGGGCGACCACTGTGAGGGGGGCGTCCAGGGCGACCACTGTGAGGGAGGCGTCCAGGGCGACCACTGTGAGGGGGGCGTCCAGGGCGACCACTGTGAGGGGGGCGTCCAGGGCGACCACTGTGAGGGAGGCGTCCAGGGCGACCACTGTGAGGGAGGCGTCCAGGGCGACCACTGTGAAGGGGGCGTCCAGGGCGACCACTGTGAGGGAGGCGTCCAGGGCGACCACTGTGAGGGGGGCGTCCAGGGCGACCACTGTGAGGGAGGCGTCCAGGGCGACCACTGTGAGGGGGGCGTCCAGGGCGACCACTGTGAGGGGGGCGTCCAGGGCGACCACTGTGAGGGGGGCGTCCAGGGCGACCACTGTGAAGGGGGCGTCCAGGGCGACCACTGTGAGGGAGGCGTCCAGGGCGACCACTGTGAAGGGGGCGTCCAGGGCGACCACTGTGAGGGAGGCGTCCAGGGCGACCACTGTGAGGGGGGCGTCCAGGGCGACCACTGTGAGGGGGGCGTCCAGGGCGACCACTGTGAAGGGGGCGTCCAGGGCGACCACTGTGAAGGGGGCGTCCAGGGCGACCACTGTGAAGGGGGCGTCCAGGGCGACCACTGTGAAGGGGGCGTCCAGGGCGACCACTGAGGGGGGCGTCCAGGGCGATCACTGTGAGGGGGGCGTCCAGAGCGACCACTGTGAGGGGGGCGTCCAGGGCGACCACTGAGGGGGGCGTCCAGGGCGATCACTGTGAGGGGGGCGTCCAGAGCGACCACTGTGAGGGGGGCGTCCAGGGCGACCACTGAGGGGGCGTCCAGGGCGACTACTGTGAGGGGGGCGTCCAGGGCGACCACTGTGAAGGGGGCGTCCAGGGCGACCACTGTGAGGGGGGCGTCCAGGGCGACCACTGTGAGGGGGGCGTCCAGGGCGACCACTGAGGGGGGCGTCCAGGGCGATCACTGTGAGGGGGGCGTCCAGAGCGACCACTGTGAGGGGGGCGTCCAGGGCGACCACTGTGAGGGGGGCGTCCAGGGCGACCACTGTGAGGGAGACGTCCAGGGCGACCACTGTGAGGGGGCGTCCGGGCGACCACTGTGAAGGGGCGTCAGGTCAAGGAACAAGGAGACAGCGGCGACACAAAGGGAGAGTCGCCGCTCCGGTAGGTAACACTTCACACCTGACCACACCTGCAGCTTCCTGCTGGGGCCACAATGACCACACACACACCTAACCACACCTGCAGCTTCCTGCTGGAGCCACAACGACCACACACACACCTGACCACACCTGCAGCTTCCTGCTGGAGCCACAACGACCACACACACACCTGACCACACCTGCAGCTTCCTGCTGGAGCCACAACGACCACACACACCTGACCACACCTGCAGCTTCCTGCTGGAGCCACAACGACCACACACACACCTGACCACACCTGTAGCTTCCTGCTGGAGCCACAACGACCACACACACACCTGACCACATCTGCTGCTTCCTGCTGGAGCCACAACGAACACACACACACCTGACCACACCTGCAGCTTCCTGCTGGAGCCATAACGACCACACACACACCTGACCACACCTGCAGCTTCCTGCTGGAGCCATAACGACCACACACACACCTGCAGCTTCCTGCTGGAGCCACAACGACCACACACACACACCTAACCACACCTGCAGCTTCCTGCTGGAGCCACAACGACCACACACACACCTGACCACACCTGTAGCTTCCTGCTGGAGCCACAACGACCACACACACACCTGACCACATCTGCTGCTTCCTGCTGGAGCCACGACGAACACACACACACCTGACCACACCTGCAGCTTCCTGCTGGAGCCATAACGACCACACACACACCTGCAGCTTCCTGCTGGAGCCACAACGATCACACACACACCTAACCACACCTGCAGCTTCCTGCTGGAGCCACAACGACCACACACACCTGACCACACCTGAAGCTTCCTGCTGGAGCCACTACGACCACACACACACCTGACCACACCTGCAGCTTCCTGCTGGAGCCATAACGACCACACACACACCTGCAGCTTCCTGCTGGAGCCACAACGATCACACACACACCTAACCACACCTGCAGCTTCCTGCTGGAGCCATAACGACCACACACACACCTGCAGCTTCCTGCTGGAGCCACAACGACCACACACACACCTGCAGCTTCCTGCTGGAGCCACAACGACCACACACACCTGACCACTCCTGCAGCGTCCTGCTGGAGCCACAACGACCACACACACCTGACCACACCTGCAGCTTCCTGCTGGAGCCACAACGACCACACACACACACCTGACCACACCTGCAGCTTCCTGCTGGAGCCACAACGACCACACACACACACCTGACCACACCTGCAGCTTCCTGCTGGAGCCACAACGACCACACACACACACCTGACCACACCTGCAGCTTCCTGCTGGAGCCACAACGACCACACACACCTGACCACACCTGCAGCTTCCTGCTGGAGCCACAACGACCACACACACACACCTGACCACACCTGCAGCTTCCTGCTGGAGCCACAACGACAACACACACCTGACCACACCTGCAGCTTCCTGCTGGAGCCACAACGACAACACACACCTGACCACACCTGCAGCTTCCTGCTGGAGCCACAACGACAACACACACCTGACCACACCTGCAGCTTCCTGCTGGAGCCACAACGACAACACACACCTGACCACACCTGCAGCTTCCTGCTGGAGCCACAACGATCACACACACACCTAACCACACCTGCAGCGTCCTGCTGGAGCCACAACGACCACACACACCTGACCACACCTGCAGCGTCCTGCTGGAGCCACAACGACCACACACACCTGACCACACCTGCAGCGTCCTGCTGGAGCCACAACGACAACACACACCTGACCACACCTGCAGCTTCCTGCTGGAGCCACAACGATCACACACACACCTAACCACACCTGCAGCTTCCTGCTGGAGCCACAACGACCACACACACCTGACCACACCTGCAGCGTCCTGCTGGAGCCACAACGACCACACACACCTGACCACACCTGCAGTTATCAACAAACATGTTCAGTAATATGGCGATTGTTTGTATAGTTTGTAAATATACATGAACACGTTGTAATGAACGGGGAGAGAGTAGCCAGAGGTGCCTCGCACCTCTGGCTACTCTCAACACACAAAGGTGCCTCGCACCTTTGTGTGTTGTTTATCTCAATAAACACTGAAATTCGCTCGGGATCCCCTGTGTTGATGCCTCTAAGATTCTTCTGTATATAATCATGTTGCACCTCTTCCTCCCTTTAGCCTGGATAGTGAGGTCTAGTTCCTTAACATTTCCTCATATTTCAACTTCTAACATACGCTTCTTGTTTCATTGGTATTAATTGTAAACATTAACTATTTTTCCACTGTCAGTTCCCTAAGTATTTTATACGTCTCTATCATGTTCCCCGCTATTTTTCTAGCGTCGTCAGGTTTAGTTCCTTCAGTTTCTCTTCATACCATCATCTTTTGCAATTCTGTGACGAGCCTAGTGGCAAGTAAGTAAGTAATTATCAAAAGAAGGCACCAAACCGGGAAGGCTGTGTAGCACCATCAAATGTGCGGGATAATCAGAAGGCGCTAAATATCACCAAGGATGCCAATACGAGAACAGAAACGCATAAGGCGAACGATATCAAAAGTATCCGAGTCACCAAGAACACTATCGAGAGACAAGCGACCGCGGGGGACGGTCGGAAAACAAGACACACGCTCGTCCCGGAAGTCAGGACATTCAACAAGGATATGCACGACCGTAAGAGGGACAATGCAATTAGGACAATAAGCAGCAAGCCGGCAACCCATCAAGTGACCATAAGTTAAGCGAGTATGGCCAATATGCAACCTCGCCAGAGCCATTTCCCATCGCCGGTTACGGTGGTCGGAGGACGGCCACGAGGACACAAAACTTTTAAGAGAACGCAGTTTGTTACCAGTAACAGACGACCAACAAGCCTGCCAATGGGTAAGGATGGAGGAATGGATAACCGGGTAAAAGTCGGAATAAGGAATACCTTTACGAGAGATAGGACAAAAGCGGACAGCCTCCCTGGCGGCAGCATCCACACGCTCATTTAAAGACACACCAATATGGCTGGGAACCCAACAAAACTCAACCGACTTGAATTTACTGTGAATAAGAAACAACCAATGCTGGATCTCGACAACTACTGGATGAACCGGATTAAAGGACCTGAGAGCCATGAGGGCACTACGAGAGTCAACAACAACTACAAAGGAAGAGTGACAATGAGAAAGCAGGAGACGGAGAGCATAGAGAATAGCATAAAGTTCCGCTGTGAAGATGCAAGTCTCCGGAGGCAAGCGACACATATAAGTGCAATCAGGAAAAACAACAGAGTAGCCAACACCATCCGCAGACTTAGACTCATCGGTGAAGACAGAAACGGAGTGGGAGTGAGAAGAAAAGTGCTCAAGGAAAAGGCGTTTTAGAACCGTTGGAGGGGTAAAAGCTTTTGAGATGCGGGCTAAGGATGTACAAAACTGCGGAAGGGGGACTCTCCATTGCGGCAAAGAAGGAACAACACGAGGAGAAATATTAGAAATACGAACTGAAAGAGAATCCTGTAAGCGAGATAACCGGACAGAAAGAGGGAGGGGGTGAAGAGGAACAGGAACCGCAGGAGGGGCAAAAGTTAAAGCACGACAGAGGCGAGAGGAAGGATGTTGCAAGGACCGCGCAAGATAGCGAAAACAATAGCGAGCACGGCAGTCCTGGAGAGATAGGAAGCCAGGGTCAACATACAAGCTGAGGACGGGAGTCGAACGAAAGGCACCAGAACTGAGGCGCAACCCAGTATGGTGCCAAGCATCAAGATGGCGAAGAGTAGAAGGAGAAGCAGACAAGTAAGCAGGGCAACCATAATCGAGCTTAGACAGGACGAGAGTGGAATGTCAAGCGAGTAGAGTGCGCCTATCTGCTCCCCAAGAAGTATGGGACAATACCCGAAGGAGGGTAAGGGCCTTAGAGCATTCAACACGGAGGTAAGAGATATGGGGTGACCAAGACAAACGAGTGATAAAAATCAACCCCAGTAGCTTAGCGGAATCTTTGTATTCAAGGGGGTGACCAAAGCGACAAAGAAGGACAAGGAATGACACGCTTCCGAGTAAAAGTCTTAGCACAAGTCTTAGACGTAGAGAACCTGAAGCCAAGATCGGTGGCCAAAGACGACACGGCATCAATCGCAAGTTGAAGCCGGCATTGAATGAGAGGCGAATCATCACCCTGACACCAAAGGGTAAGATCATCGACATAGAGCGCGGAGAAGACACCAGAAGGAAGTGAGGAGACGAAAGAAGACCATTGAGGGCAACCAGAAAAAGAGTATTGCTCAGAACACTACCCTGGGGCACACCTTTGTATTGCTGAAAAGAGGCAGAGAGAGCGGTACCAAGACTCACCCAAAAGAAATGAGAGGGGAAGCTGTGGAGAAAGAGAGGGAGATGACCACGAAGGCCAAAAGAATGAAGTTGGGATAGAATATGATATCGCCAAGAGGTGTCGTAAGCCTTTTCCAGGTCAAAAAGGACAGCAACAACGGAGGTCTTCGCAGCAAAA